TTAGATATTCTTTTTATTTGAACAATATTAACTAGGTTATAAAAGTTTATAATATGACATAATTATAACAAGTCAATAGACCAACCACAATTTTTTCAAATAGTGCAAAAATTTTCCAACCCACTTCGATTGATGAAATTTGATTAGTAATGCAACATTTAAAATAATGAAATTTGTGGATAATAAAATTTTGGGTAAACTGTTTTTTTAAGTCCCGTAACTGGACCCCCTTGTCATTTTAGTCCCGTAAGTGGAGCCTGTCACAAACTAGTCCATAAGTGAAAATTTTTCGTTGTTTTAGTCCTCTGGCGCTGGAGATGCCCGCGTGGTTCGCCGGAGGTGAGTGTCCGCCAGGTGTCGCTGACCTGGCGGGCACGTGGATTTTTTTATTTTATTTTTTATTTTTAAATTTTTTTTAAAACTTATTTTAAATTTATTTTAAATTTTATTTGTATATTTTTTAATTTTTTTTTATTTGATCCAATTAAAAAAATTTTAAAAATAAAAAAAATAAAAATCCACGTGTCGATCAGGTGTGGCTGACCTGGCGGGACACATGGCGGACACGTCACCTCCGGCGAGCCACGCGGGCGTCTTAAGCGCCGGAGGACTAAAACAACAAAAATTTTTCACTTATGGGACTAGTTTGCGACATGCTCCACTTACGGGACTAAAATGATAAAGGGGTCCAGTTACGGGACTAAAAAAACAGTTTACACTAAAATTTTTATTATCATTTTTATGTGTGATATTTCGATATCTTTTAAAATAAAAATTAATATATAATCAAAAGAAATTTAAAACACGTGTTTAAATATTTTATAAATTATATTTCAATCAAATATATACATTATTTTATAAAGAATACAATTTTATATAATATAAATAATTTTTTATATTATTATTAAATACAATTAACATATGAAGTAAAGAGTTTGTCCATTTTTTATTTTTTGGATAAATTTGTTTGTATATATATTTTTTAATGTGTTAGGTCTACAAATTTATAATGATAATACAAAATATAATATTTTGTGTTAAATTATTATTTTTTTTATAAATATATAAATAAATAAATAAATATATATTATATTGAGTTAATATGAATAAATATTTTTATTTTTTCAATAATATTTATAGACAATTGTACCATTAAAAAATATAATGTAAACAAACCCAAAATCTATACATTTATGCAATTTATATTAAAATTTAAGTATTGTAGAAGTAATTTAATTACTAGATCAAATATATATATATATATATATATGTTTGTTTAGTGTCTACATAAGATATTGACATTTTGCGACATAATATATATATTATTGAAAATTACGATCGAATTTGGATGAATAAAGTAGTTTTAATATTTCTATGTATCACATCAAATCTAAAAATCAAAATGATTTCTCATAACATAACACTCATAAAATTATCATTTAAAATCAATACGATCAATCATAGATTTTTATTCGAACTATTCATCAACCATCGACTTCACTAAACACTATTTGTAATTTTTCAATCAAACATTCGATTATTTTAAATATCAAAGTGATCTTAAATTATTTTATATTTATTAATTTACTAAAAAAATAAAAGAATTCATTACATTGAAATAGAGAAAATATAAATTTAATTTATTAAAAAATTTAAAAATTGAATAAATAGATAAAATAGTGTGGTTCCACTGATATATATATATATACATGCATAGATAGATAACTAATAAATTCATATTTTTTAGCGAAAAAATCAAAAAATATTTTTCTTTTTGAAACATGTGCTTTTTTTTATTTATTAATATTATAAAATATAAAATATACATATATCCTCACAAAATATATAATATTTACTTTAATCATTTAAATAATATTTTTTTACTCAGAAAAGAAATACTCACCTCAATATGCCACATCATCATTTTCATTTATAAAAAAATTTAAAATATTTCATGTGCATATCTATTATATATATTTTTAAATAATTTTTTTTACTAAAATATTTTTTTTCGTCTCAATTCAATGAGATTTTTAAAGTTTTACACTAAATTAAGGAATAATATAATAATATTTTATTAGTTAGCGAAGCTGTGTAAAAGTTTTTAACTTTGTTTTTTCCTTTGACTTTATATAAAATAATTGTATGTTTGTAAGTTAATAAAAGTTAAGGTTTTTTCCTTTGACTTTATATAAAATAATTGTATGTTTGTAAGTTAATAAAAGTTAAGGTTATTTTATTATTAGTGTATGATTATTTATTTATTTGTTTTTTTTTTTTAAGTAGGAAATGAATACTTTAAAGTAAAACAGACGAAAATGATAAAAGTGATACTTTGAATTGGGACGTAGGAAGTATATGTTGACGCAGGAAAAACGAAAACTGAAAAAATATATACTATTGTCAATTTATATCGGAATTAATAGACTTTATTCGAACAATACTTTGTATACAAAATAAAGAAAAACGAAATATTAGCAGAAGTGAAATTAGAATAAACCAAAATCAATATTAATACAGAATCAAAATGCTTCTAAACCTCACCAAAAAACTTGTTGGAAAGTTTATTACTGAAATATGATATATGGCAAATTTCGAAAAACACAAATCAGATAGAATGCGAAATCAAATTCGAGCCTAGCGTTAAAATGCGACTTTTTTGAAGCAAATTCTGTTATATATTTTGGCCCGTGATAATTGAGGCCTAGAATGCACACAATCAACCCGCCCAAATTGAAGCCCGGACCCGGCAACCCACTACCTGACCCAATCTTTTGAGAGACTCGTCGGTTCGCAAGCTGCCTGGCTTTGATCCGGGCTGGACCGGTTTGAACCGGTCTGGACCGCTGGTTTGTTCTGTCCTCTATATATAGGCTGATCCATTGAACCGGTTCACAATTTTTTTTTTTTTATTCCAGAATATTCATTCATTCAGAGAACAACACAGAACAGAACCTTCTCGCGATTCTTCTCTCATGCCCTAGGCGATTCCTTCGTCATCGCGTCTGTCTTCTCCGGTGAATCTGTCCGGCGAGTTGGGAGTTCCTCTTCCCCGTTGATGCGCGCCTCTTCCCTCGGTGTTTCTACGGTTTGGTTTAATCGATTTGTGCCTTTATGTGTGTCTCGCGATGTATATGCTGTTCGCGGTGTGATAGGCTTGAAATCGATTGTGTTTCCGTAGATAAGGGTTCGGGTTTGTGTGTTTGTTGCGTTTCCGTGGCGTGTCGTTTGTAGTTGGGTCTTGGATGTGTGATTGATGTCGGTTGGTTTGATATTAGGGTAAACTGAGTTTGAACTGTTGCTTCCGTAATAAACGTAATAAATCGAAGTTTTCTTTTAAGTTTTCTTCGATGTTAATTTGATTTCGAGAGAATATAGCCTATTGGATCTTGGATTAGTAGTAACAAATTCGTCCCTCCATCTATCACCTTCCATGATAGAACGAATAAAAAAAAAAAATAAAATTCCGCAAACCGAACCATAAAGTTTTTTGAAAGAAAATTTGGAAAAAAATATCTAAGAATTTAGAAAACAAATCGATGAGTTTGAGAATTGATTTTTCATATTACAGAGAATTAAGGATAAATATAATGTATATATATTATATTTTTTTGAATTATATTATCTGATTATTTATTTATTTATTTTTTAAAATCAAAATAAATTAATTAATAAAATATGGAACAAATCATTTATTCCCCTTTCACATTTCTAAATAAATACCCAACAAAACTTTTCTTCCAAACTCCCTATTCTATCTCTATTTTTTAAAATTACTCCAACAAACTAATTTAACAAACTCACATACCAATTGGGCTAAGGATATGATATAGTCCCTCCTCAAAGCTAAAAATATACAATTTTTTTTTTGCGCGAAGATTAAGAAATAATAATAATATTTTAATTATAGTGGATAGGTAAAAATAGTAAAATGACATTTTTGCCCTTATTTTTTTTAGTATAAAAATAATGATGTGATATAAAGTATAAGTATTTGTGGAAAAAATGAGGTATTTAATGAAATAGTTACTTTGTAATTGCACGTCCCAAAATAGAAATATGTATACTTTTTGACTGGACGGAGGGAGTATAGGTTTGGGCCTAGAAGTTGATTTAGGGTATGTTTGTTCGCGTTTTGAATTTTAAATTGATATTTGAATAACAAAAATTTTGAATTATAATAATTATATGATGTGATATAAATAAATATTGATATTGTAGAATTGATTTTTAGTATAATATAAAAAATGAGAAATAAGTGTTTGATTTGACATTTTCGAGAGCAAAAATTTGGTTGAATAGTAGAATTTTAAAAAATCTTCCAAACACACACTCTTAGGGTGTGTTTGTTTGAGGTTTTGGATTTTGAGTTGAGATTTGAATAGTAAAAATTTTGAATTTGAATAGTTGTATGATGTGATATAAATAAGTGTTGATGCGATGTTTTAAATGTAAAATTGATTTTTAGTATAATATAAAAAATAAAAAATAGGTGTTTAATTTGATATTTTTAGAGGAAAAAAATTGAATAAATAGTGTAAATCCAATCAAATCCTCCAAACAAACACACCCTTAAAGGATTTGGGCCGAATTCAGTGAGCCGGATTAAAAAGTGAGCCCATTATCAATGTATCCATAAACTCGTTGAATTAGTTTCCAACCTTTGTGTTTAGGCAATATAGACGAAATAATAGAAGTTAGATGTAAAATTTAAAAAATACTTTCCCAAAAAAAGTTTTGGAGTTCTTTTTGTCCCAACAAAAATATAAAAGTATAAAATAAAGATGCTTTTGTTTTGTAAAAATTTGAGAAATTAATTTTTTTTACGATGTACAAAATGATATAAATAATAACAAAAGCCTCTAATATATTATTATTATTATTTTAACAAAATGTGTTTTTTTTTTTTTTTTTTCGCAAAATGAACACCCTCAATAATTTTATTACAAGTTCCTTAATAATAATAATAATCACTAGGCTATAAAATAAAATAGAATAAAATACAAGAATCAATTATGGCCAGTTAGCTCAAAGCCAAACCCTAATCCCCAATTTCCTTCGTCACTCCCGTTTCCAATTTTGGGAATTTCTTGCAACTTCCAATCTGATTTCAACCGGATGATCCAATTGATAACTGAAATACCATCGGAAGCACATTTTCAGGCAGTTTCGAGGGTCAAATCGGCGGTTTTCTCCGGTAGCTGTGTCTGTTAGGCGCCGGAATCTGCTTCCACTGCGGTTCAGTCCAATTTTTCATTGCCATCGTCTCCGGTAAGCAGCGTCGGTGAAAATGGAAGGAGGTAAGCTCAGATTCTGCGTCGATAGAGGAGGAACATTCACAGATGTATACGCCGAAATTCCTGGCAACTCCGAAGGCCGAACGATGAAGCTATTGTCCGTTGACCCTGCGAATTACGCCGACGCTCCGGTCGAAGGTATTCGCCGTATACTGGAAGAATATACCGGCGAGAGCATCCCGCGGAATTCGAGAATTCCGACGGATAAGATCGAGTGGGTGAGAATGGGAACGACTGTGGCGACTAACGCATTACTCGAACGAAAAGGGGAACGAATCGCCCTCTGTGTGACGCGCGGATTCAAGGATTTGCTGCAGATTGGGAATCAGGCCAGACCTAATATATTCGACCTAACTGTATCGAAGCCATCGAATCTGTACGAGGAAGTTGTGGAAATCGACGAGCGAGTCGAGCTCATTAGCTCCGGCGACGCTGCAGATATTCCCGACGCGGCGGCGATCGTCCGGGGAATTTCCGGTGAGCTTGTAAGAATTGTGAAGCCGATCGATGAGAAAGCTTTAATTCCTAAATTGAATAGTTTGATTGAGAAAGGGATTACCTCTTTAGCTGTAGTATTGCTGCATTCTTATACATATGTGAATCATGAGGTAGAAATCGAGAAATTAGCTCTAAGATTGGGATTCAAGCATGTTTCGTTGTCGTCGGCATTGACGCCGATGGTTCGAGCCGTCCCTCGGGGGTTCACGGCGTGCGTCGACGCGTATCTAACCCCCGTGATCAAGGAGTATTTGCAAGGATTCATGTCAAAATTCGAGGAGAAACAGGGGAAGAAGTTGAATGTGTTGTTTATGCAGTCGGACGGAGGTTTGGCGCCGGAGAAAAGTTTCTCCGGCCACAAAGCTGTTTTATCCGGCCCCGCCGGTGGTGTCGTCGGGTACTCGCAGACGCTTTCCGGCGTCGAGACTGATAAGCCGCTTATCGGATTCGATATGGGCGGTACGTCGACCGATGTGAGTCGATACGCCGGAAGTTACGAGCATGTTATAGAAACGCAAATATCGGGCGCGATAATTCAAGCGCCGCAGCTCGAGATCAACACGGTCGCCGCCGGCGGCGGCTCGAAGTTGAAGTTTCAGTTTGGGGCTTTTCGGGTCGGGCCGGAGTCGGTTGGCGCCCATCCTGGGCCCGTTTGTTACAGGAAAGGTGGGGAGCTTGCGGTTACGGATGCGAATCTTGTGCTCGGATACATAATTCCCGATTATTTCCCATCGATCTTTGGCGCCGGCGAAGATCAGCCATTGGATGTGGATGCTACTCGAGCCGAGTTTCAGAATCTCGCGAAACGAGTCAACGATTACCGGCGGAGTCGGGATCCGGAGGCGACGGATATGACGGTGGAGGAGATTGCTCAAGGGTTCGTTAACGTCGCTAACGAAACGATGTGTCGTCCGATTCGTCAGCTGACGGAGATGAAAGGCCACGAGACGAAGAACCACGCCCTTGCTTGCTTCGGAGGCGCCGGACCTCAACATTCGTGCGCGATCGCGCGATCGCTCGGCATGAAAGAAGTTCTGATCCACAGATTCTGCGGGATTTTGAGCGCGTATGGGATGGGATTAGCCGATGTCGTCGAGGAAGAACAGGAACCGTATTCTGCCGTTTATAGTCCCGAATTGTTGTCCGAAGTTTACGATCGAGAATCGACGTTGCTGTGCCGCGTAAAGCAGAAGCTGATGTCTCAAGGTTTTAACAACGAAAACATATCGACGGAGACGTATTTGAATCTGCGATACGAAGGAACCGACACGGCGATTATGGTCAAGAGCTGGACGGATGAAAATGGCGTGAGAGGAGACTACGCTGTCGAATTCGAAAACTTGTTTCGACAAGAGTACGGATTCGAGCTTCGAGGCCGGAAAATTCTTGTATGCGACGTCCGAGTTCGCGGCGTCGGGATTACGAACATACTTAAACCCCGAGCAATGCTTCCCGGCTTGGGAACCCCGAAAAGCGAAGGTAGTTACAAGGTTTATTTCGAAAACGGCTGGCACGATACGCCGCTATTCAAGCTCGAAAATTTGGCGAACGGGCATTCGATCTCCGGGCCTGCCGTGATCATGAACGGTAACAGCACCGTGATTGTAGAGCCGTTCTGTAACGCCGTTATTACGAAATACGGTAACATTAAGATTGAGATCGGGTCGAGCCGTAAGACTGTTGCGGAACCTTCGAAAGAAGTCGCGGACGTCGTGCAGCTCTCGATATTCAACCACAGGTTCATGGGAATCGCCGAGCAAATGGGACGGACGCTGCAGCGAACGTCGATCTCGACTAATATTAAAGAAAGGCTGGATTTTTCGTGTGCGCTGTTTTCTTCCGACGGAGGTCTCGTCGCGAATGCGCCGCATGTTCCTGTGCACTTAGGTGCCATGTCGAGCACGGTTCGATGGCAGCTCGATTATTGGGGCGACGATTTGCACGAAGGCGATGTTTTGGTTGCAAACCATCCTTGCGCCGGCGGAAGTCATCTCCCGGACATCACCGTCGTCATGCCGGTTTTCGATAATGGGAAATTGATTTTCTTCGTTGCGAGCAGAGGGCACCACGCCGAAATCGGCGGGATCACTCCCGGAAGCATGCCGCCTTTTTCAAAGTTCATAAGCGAAGAAGGGGCGGCGATTAAGGCTTTCAAGCTCGTCGAAAAGGGCGTTTTTCAGGAAGACGGTATCCGGAATCTTCTTCTACATCCATCTCCCGACGAATCGGGTCGCAAAATCCCGGGAACTCGGAGGCTTCAGGATAACTTATCCGATCTCCACGCGCAGATCGCGGCGAATCAGCGGGGGGTCTCGTTGATCAAAGAGCTGATCGAACAATACGGATTGGACACCGTGAAGGCGTACATGAACCACGTGCAGGTAAACGCCGAAGGCGCCGTCCGGGAAATGCTGAAATCAGTTGCGTCGAGAGTGTCGTCGTGTTCGGGAGACGACGTAACGGTCGAAGAAGAGGATTATATGGACGACGGATCCGTCATACATTTGAAGCTGACGATCGATAAACGAAAAGGCGAGGCGTTCTTCGACTTCTCCGGGACAAGCCCCGAAGTCTACGGGAATTGGAACGCTCCGGAGGCCGTGACGGCAGCTGCCGTCATTTACTGCCTACGGTGTTTGGTCGATGTCGATATTCCGTTAAATCAAGGGTGTTTGGCGCCCGTGAAGATCCACATTCAGCCTGGGAGTTTCCTCTCCCCGAGTGATAAGGCGGCGGTGGTCGGGGGCAACGTTCTTACGTCGCAACGGATCACCGATGTTGTCTTGACGGCATTTCAGGCCTGCGCGTGTTCGCAGGGGTGTATGAACAATCTGACCTTTGGTGACGACACTTTCGGTTACTACGAGACGATCGGCGGAGGGAGCGGCGCGGGCCCGGGATGGGACGGCGCGAGCGGCGTGCAATGCCACATGACGAATACCCGGATAACCGACCCCGAGATTTTTGAGCAAAGGTATCCGGTCGTGCTTCGTGAGTTCGGGTTACGGGAGAAGAGCGGCGGTGCGGGAGTTCGTAGAGGCGGCGACGGCATTGTGCGGGAGATAGAGTTTAGGCGTCCCCTCGCCGTGAGCATTCTCTCGGAAAGACGTGTTCACGCTCCTCGTGGCTTGAACGGAGGTAATTTTACGAGTTTTTGTTTTTGTTCATTATAATGCTCGAATTTTATACCTAATACCGTAGATTTCTCGCATGAATCCTTTTTAGCGCTTTGTTCCTTGAAATTTAAAAGTCGCGCAATCATCTCTTACATGATAGACGTACTTTAATCAGCACACAAGCTGTCGATAGATAACATATGATTTGAATTAATACAACGGATGTTGTTTTAATTGAAATTATGTGCTGACAGTTTATATTTCATATACTGCGCAATATGAGGATATCTTTTGTGGTGAGATTATATTAACATATATATACCTCCTTCGTCGTACCATGGACTTTTTGCAAAATACCTCTATTAATCTCTTATATTACAAAATAATCATACTTGTGGAGTAAATTATACAAATATAAGAATATTTTTAACGTTAACTACAATGATGCAAAAGACAAATATAGGTCGTATTATGTTTATTTATAGTTCATATATTGTCTGGCAATAATATCTGTGCTGTCAGTACAATGTTGAATCATTTAGTTAGGGGTTGCGGAAAAGTTATATTAGTTCCTCAAGTAGCGTCGAATGGGCTAGCGCACCTTCACACATTGTATCATGCGCGGGGATAATTTAAATGTTACGAGAAATATGTCGTACAAATGTTCTCATGATTCTTTCGGACAGGGAAGGATGGCGCTCGAGGAGCTAACTATCTTATTACGAAAGATGGCCGGAAGGTGTACCTAGGTGGTAAGAACACGGTCGAGGTGCAAGCCGGCGACATTCTTCGGATCCTAACTCCCGGCGGCGGTGGTTGGGGCTCGCCGTGACCCGCCCAGCCGTGTCGGGTCGGGTCGGGTCGGGTCAGGTCGGGCTCATGAAGAAGGCTCTCTTAAGTGTAAGAACCTTCTGTTAGCTTTGGGTAATTGTTTTGGGATACAATTTTCTGAATTTTGATTGTTCGAATTCTTGCCAATAATACAAATACTGAATCAAATTCATGGTAAGAATTTTTGTGTGGTTGTCTTTGTTTGGGAAGTAATTGAACGAGCACCAATATGGATTTTGGAAGTATTTTCGAATTTTGGGTTAATTTGGAATTCATTAAATAGTAATAAAAAATAAGTATTTAATTATAATATAAATAGGACTAAATATAGAGAGAAGGTTTTGTTTTGTTTTGTTTTTTATTTATATATTATATATATATATAGAGAGAGAAATGAGCGAATATATGATATGACTAATAAAAAAATTGTACTGATAATATAAAAAGATTCACCGAGAAAAATATATTTTCATAGAGGAAACACAAATACTTACGGGTCACAAATAATTTATTGAAAGAGTGACGTTTTAATTTTTACGTAGAATTTTGAATATTAGCGATATATTGGATGTAGTAAAAAAGATAAAAATATTCCTATCGCCTAAAATTCGAATGTTATAATTTTATTTTATCTTTGTACAAATTTTGTGTAACTCGAAGCGTTAAGAGTCAAAATATCACATAAGGAAAGCGATTTTATACAATTCAAAATATATCAAAGATCGATAATATACCATGCTATATTCTATTTATTCAAATCTCATATGACTTTCCAACAAAAATACCTAAAATTAAAATATAAAATCCATATGATATTTTTTATGTGATGTATAAAAAATAGTGTAATAATATAAAAATAATGAATGTGACTGATATATTAATATTTTGAGAAAAATGTGTGAAATAAACAAAATATAAAGAGAACCCATCCCCTTGCTTCAATAATGTTTTTTAGTTCAATGCTATGAGGTTTGTTTTTTTTTTTTTTTTTTTTTTAAATATGAGTTTTGGGATTTATATTTTTAATTTTAAATCAAAATTATTAATTTTCAATAAAAATATATTATTTCATCTCACAAAATATGACATTAAAACATTTGTTAAACTAAAACTAAACAAATATTTCATTTAAATTGTGATATTTTATGTTTTTATTGCAAATTATATATATATATATATATATTTAATAGTAAAAAAAATAGTTTGAAGAAAGAAACTAGTTTTTCATTATTAGGCAATTAAGTAAATTTTTATACCATTCAATAACACAATTCCAGAATAAAATCGATCCAAACTCAAATTAACATTATCATTTATCAAAACACAAAACCAAAATAACAAAAAACAAACAACTCACTAATTAATTACTATATACATAAGCAAATCAAGATAAAATTTACACAAACTAAATATTACAACACACGCATATATATAATTATCGATAAAGACAACATTAAATCGCTCATATATATATATATATATATAGGTTCGATTTTGATTTGACCTTAGGTTGTCCGGTGCAACAACCATTGGGAGAAAGTGTGGAGAGTGTTCATATCAGCTCTATAGTGTTTCTGAGTGAACTCAAGAAGGGATGGCCATGTGAAATCAGGATACAGTCGCGGGTTGCCGGAATCCACCAGCTCAGGCGGCGGCTTAACTGTCTTGTCCTCCTTAGGACAAAGGAAGAAGGCTAGGGTTTTCCTCGGACAATCTTTGTTCACCACGGCGCGGTGCAAACAACTCTTGTACTTCCCATTTGAAAGCGCCTAATTAATTAATTAATATTCGTCCAAGGTTAAAAATGATGATCATTTATTCGAGCTCACGTCATAAAAGCGCGCATTTTTGTAATGAAAATTATATATTTATGCAGTAGGGGTCGTGGTTTGGATGTTTATTGCTTATGTTTTTATCTTACAAAACAGTACATTCGACTACTATTTATAATATAATTAAAATCAAACATAAAAAGAACATATATATATATATATTTATATAAAGAGGGAGGGGAGAATTTCATTGTATATATTTATGGATAAAATTATGGGTGTGTTAATTGATTTTGGATTTTATTTTTTGTTATATATTTTTTATTTTAATTTCTTTTGAATTAAAAATACTTGTTAAATATGATGTTTATATAAAAATAAATAAATTATTACTTCTGTCCGGCTCTAAGGGTTATATTTATTTTTTGTGTATTAATATATAAATATTAATTATTATATCAAAATGTAGTACAAATTAAAAGAAAATTGACAAAATTACTTCTATCAATGTCTTGTAATACTAATAGAATGACATTTGTAAAAAAAAACTTATACACATATAAAAATATTTTTAATGTTAAGTATAATGACGCAAAAGGTAAATATAAAAACTTATACACATATAAAAATATCTTTTAGCAAAGAAGAAAAAAATCATTAACAAAATACTCAACTCAATTTTAATGTCAAGATAATAATGTATTTATTTATTTATCTTAACATGGAAAAGGGTGGACAAGATATTCATTTCATGTGTTGTTTGGGATATTTTTGTTCTCTATTTTTTTTTCAACAATAATTTAGATATAATTTAGATGTGATGTTTTATATGAATAAATAATATATTTGCGTAGCAAAAAAAACTGAAATCAAACTCTAAAGAAACACGATTTAAAAAAAAAAAGTGTGATTTACTTACCATGAAAGTGTCACCTATGTTGACAACAAAAGTATTGTGGTTGGGGCGAATAAAGCGCCATTCGTTGTTGACAAAAACTTGGAGGCCACCGATGTTGTCTTGGTGGAGGATGGTTAAGGATGTTGGATCGCAATGAGGCCCCGTCCCTAAAGTTTGTTGTGGTTCTTGACATGACGGGTAATAGTTCAATCTCACGATCGATTTATGCTCTTTGAAGAACTCCATGTAATAAGTTCTGTCGACACCCAAACCCATTGCCAAGAGCTCCAAAATCGCCATTGATAGTGAGCTCATTGCATTGCAATACTCTTGGTACACTTTCCTACACACATATATATATATTATAGAAATTTTTGTAAATTTTATTATTATTATTATTATTATTATTATTATTTTTAAGGAAAATTGTATTTATGCTGTATGGATTTTTTATGTAAATGTATGAATAATCTATATAAAGTTTATTTCATAAGTCACACTTCTTGTATCGTTAAAATGATGAAAGAAACTCTCACACTTACGATATTTCATACATTTACGAGCATGCAATTAATATATATATATATATATGTATTTTAGCTTTCTTTTAAGCTAAATACATAGGGTTTGTTTGATTAATAAATAAATAAATATATATATATATTTTAACTCTTAATGTGAAAGTGATGTTTTGTGAAAAATAAATAATTTAATTTTATAAAGTATTATAATCTAAATAGTAAAAAAAATAAAAATAATTGTTAAGTAAAAAACACACTCGTAATTATCTTCTATAAAAAATCATTTTAAATAATAAATAAGCATGGAAATGATTTTCTCATATATATATATATATGTAAATGTTTAAATTGTGCAATTTACTTCCCAATGCAAAAGGGTTACATGTATATTAAACGAAGTTTTTGCATAATTATCTTCTATTAAGAATTACTTTTTTTTTTTTTTTTTTCCCTAGAAGAACATCTTTTAGTATTATAGTTTCTTTTTCCCAAAGATTATCAAATAATATCGAAATGTAATAACATACCCTAGACGTTCAAAATCTTGGCCCAAATTCTTGCAAAAGTAGTTTTCAACAATGTGAGAATCTCCCTCCTCGGCCGAGTATTCGAATGACAATGTTTCCTTCCACGGCAACTTGGTAGAGAATCTTCCGACAAAACTACTAGCATAGCCACAATGCTCGCCAAGTTTCCTTTGAGCCCTTTGCTTCTCTTCCAACGGTCGTTCAAAAAAAATATCAATCAATCGTTGAGCCTCAGCCACCAGACCACAATCTACACCGTGATTAGCCACCACAAAGAATCCATGTTCTTGGCAAGCTCGGCCAATGGCTTCCGAGGCTTTCTTGGAGGCCATAGGGTTGCCGGCCAAGAACCCCCCGAGATCAACCATGGTTGGGCAAAACTCGGCCGGGTGAGGGCCGGGCTTTTCTTCGTCGGGCCATATGAATTGTGGAGGGATGTGGGATTGATGTGGGAACATTTGAGGATGGAAAATAAAGTCATGTTTAGGGTTTTGAGGAATGGAAGGAATTGTCATTTTTAGGACAATTTTTTAGGGTTTATACTAAGGGCTATAGTTTGTTGATAGATTTGATAAAAGGGTTTTGTAGTGTATGTAATGTATGGTTTACATATGGTATATTTTAAATTCTAACACATGATTGAAATTTAATTTGAAGAACGTATTATTTTATATAAAAATAATAATCAAAAGAAGGTTGGAAAACTAAAGGGTTTGTGAAACATAAGAAAGAGTTTGGTGGTGAAGAAATATTTGAGAGGATATTTTGTTGTGATGGAAAAATAAAACCAAGACCTTCTTCTATATATAGGGGCAAAAGTGGACATTATTAATTTGTAGTTTATATTGCCCTTTATTTCACAATTGTGTTTTAAAATATATATTTTCACTATTTATTTATCCATATAAGGGGTGTATTTATTTGGGGTTTTAGTTTTGAGTTTGAATTTTGAATGATAAAATTTTAAATTTAAATAGTTGTTTTTAATGTGATATAAATGAATGTTTTGAATAAAATTATTTTTTAGTATAATATAAAAAAAATAAAAAATTAAGTGTTTGATTTGATAATTTTTAATGAAAAAAAAAATATGAATAGTAAAAAATATGAATACTTTAAAATGTATGAATAGTTCAATAAATATTATGTTTAACTCAACATTATTAAGCATCTATCAAATATAATTTTTAATTGAAAATGATAATTAATTACCTCTATTTACTTAATTATGAAAATGTAAGTAAGCACATAATCTTATACTCCCTCCGTCCTAGATTAGAATGAGCGCTAGATACGAGAATTTAGGTAAAGTATAATTAGTAAGTAATTAATAAGTATATTAGTATAAATAATTATTATTTAGTATAAATAATTATAGATTAAGACTAAGATAACTAAATATTTTAATTAAGATTAAAAAAAATTTAAATTTTAAATTTTAAATTTTAAAATATGATTAAAGTGTATAATCAATTTTTCAAAAAAATAAAAGATAAATTATGTGGGACTGACGAAAATAGAAAATAGGATCAAATTACGTGAGACGGAGGGAGTATATGGTAAGAAATAATGTAGGTTAATTTGAAGAAGGAATTTATATCCAAACAATAGTTATTGTCATTGTCATATTTAAGTGTAGGATAACATAAATATAAAATAACAAGATACTAATTAAACATCCCAATTACTATTATTTTCTAATTTTTTTTTAAAAAAAATTTATCAACTAATACTTATTCTAACAATAAGAAAAATTGTAAGATATCTTTTGTACGTCGATTGTTATTCTTGTCTTATATATTTCATTGGTCGTATAGAACTTAGAAATTAAAATAATAAAAATAATAATTTTTGCAAGGTTCAAGATCCAAACAAGACTGATAAAATAAACATAATAAGAGTAAAATTGATTTCGTGTATATAGTTCAATTTTTATTTTTGAATTTTCCCTAAAGCATTTATCACTCATTTAGAAGCCAACGATTAATTAATTATATGCATGAATAATGTATGACGACAAACAATCGATTAATTAACAATGCTTTCACCTTTAACATAATTACAGTGTATGGTACCCTAGCATTTTGGATATTTTGAATTCAAAATGTTTCATTTGAAAAATAATTTTTGAATGCCATGTTTATATAATAATATGGTACATGTTGAACGATACATATATATACATATTACACATTGTAAAATAATGTTGTTGTAGAAATTAGAAAATCAAGAATGATAAAAAAAAAAAAAAGAAAAAAAAGAAGAAGAATATAATAATGCAAAGATTTATTGATCTGGTTCAAGAAGATGATTTACGTTTGGGGGCGATCAAACTAATTATTTTCACTAGTAATTTTCGGGTGTAAATTACAAAAAAAAAAAAAAAAAAAAAAAACACTTACATTAAAGTATATATAAAAGTATAGTTTATAATCCTAACATATGACCCAATAAACTGCACTGACGGTTCAAACTAATAAATTCGAGAGGCTATATGTATTGTACGCTATGACTTCAACTTGAAATTGACAACCCATCAAATATTGAAATACAAACTTATATATCATAAATATATATTTTTTAAGAAAATAAAATAAATATATATATGCAATAATATATACTAGTACATGCATATATAGTAGCTATGTGATTGATTGAAGTGAAAACCCAACAAATTTAAATAGTCTATATTATCATGAGAACAAAAAAGTAGGAATGTTGATTGTCACCTCCCAAAGTGGGCAACACAAACAATAAAAGTCCATGGATTGGCTTAGCTTATATATATATTTGTGTCACATAAGGGCAAGACCTTTCATGTGATAGGCCCCAATGAGACCACCTAGCTCATTGGACACGTTGCTCGAAACAATGCACATTATTCGAGAAAATTAATTTATTTGATTGTAGTTTGAAATTGATTTGAATAAAACATTAATTTAAATTTTTATTTAAATTATAGTTGGATATGATATTTTGTGAGAAAAAATAATGTACTTTTATTGATAACTCTGCGAGATGTATAAATTTATTTTTAGTTTAAAATCACAACTAAACATTTATATATAGAAATTTTACTTGTGTGTATATATATATATATATATATTCAATCATCTTATAATCACAACGAGATTATATATTGGATTAGTCCCACAACCAAAAAAATTAACCTAAATGATCTTCAGATGCCGTAGTTGCTGGCACAGCAGCATCGTGGCAAGTCGGAGATTGTATGGATAATAAGTGAACATCTATCTGACGATGATTTTAAGACCATAATTAGAACTTGTATTAGGTTAGTCTCATAGGTTTTAAATTTAGATAGAAATGATCCTACACTGGCTACTTGTCATCTATATAATTTCTGATGTGCTACGACGTTGCCATACAAGCAGTTCCGGCCCTTGAAGCTCATTTCTGTCAAATTTTTTAATTATCGGACTAATCCAATACACATATATGCACACACTCGTATATTTATTAACTGAATTTGAGTATGAGTGTGATGCAAGTAATGTATTGCATATAAATAAAATAAAATAAAATATATCAATGTATAATAATATTACCTCGAAATATCCCTGATACTTAATCAATTTTGATTTGTGCTATGGTTTATAAAAATTAATCAAATTAAAGAACTATGATTTTGTTTTTGTTTATTTATTTTTGTGGATTATATAAATTGAGTTTCTTTGTATATGTTTAACATGATGAATTTTTCTATTTTAATAAATAATTAATAAATATATATGTATCCAATTATTATTATTATTTGCATTCTCTAACAGGATAAATAAAATAAATAATGAAGCCTTGATTTAAGCTATAGTCCTTTTTTTTTTTCCGCATTCTCTAAGAGAAAATTAATTTTCATCATATATATAAATATTCAATTATTATTGTTTATTATTTTTATTTTTATTTTTTTGTGGTTGTAAGTCATCATGTAAATTTAAATATTAGTAATTTTTATAACAATTTCTCACATTTCTATCACACGACTTAGACAACATATGATGTTCACTCAAGCAATTAAAATAAAAATATAATGAAATTTATAAGACCAAACAATGACGGTAAAAATAGTACAAGATAAAAAGGGTAATAAGTTATTATACGTACAAGACAAAAATTGTCGCTTCTTCGATTTTCTTGCTACATATATATTTTTCAATAATATCTTAAATATATTTCGTGGAATTAATTCTATTTTGTCGAGACTTCAATTGTCGATAAAAAAACATACAAAAAAGACCATCGTGTACCATATATATTCCTGAGGGGTCCTACGGACAATATAGACAAGAAATTAAAGGTTGCCACGTGAAGGTTGGACTTAAATTATAGAATAATACTTCCAACACCTAATTTGGATTTGGTGGTAGTTGAAATTTTACCCATTTCTTGATTTTTTGATCACTTTGTAAATAGAAATAAATAATAATAATAATAAGTAAATAGAAAAGTAAACGTATTCGAAGAGATTTTTTTCATTGTATTGTTCGAATAAAGTAAATCTAAATCAAAACCCTAACTTTGAAGCATTAGGGTTTTCCTTTTCGCAAGAAAATTCTCCAAGGTAGAGTATTGTGTTATTTTTGTAGTTCATTCATGTATGTGTATATAACAATATAAATCATTCAGAGTAAAGTAATTATTTGCATTTGTACAAAATTTTAAAAATAATAATATTTTATGTATAAAAGTAGTTGTGTTGTGTGTAAAGATATATATATATATATATATTCTTATAATTTATGCTACTATGGAGTGATATTGTTGTAAATATACTGAAGTATGGAAATATCATATTAGATTAAAAAAAAAAAAAAATTAGATTCTTTTTGTAAAAGATTACCAAATAAGATAAAATGTATAATTTTCCCTTGGAAGAAGGAAATATGTACTTGTTTAGAATATATTGATAAAAATTTGAAAATTAAACATACCATGAAAAAATAAAAATAAATGCACTAGAATAATTTGTATTGATTTGTTGGATCATCATCCCATAAATCACGTGACACTCCCATGAACTAAGGATTCGAATAATTAGGCTAGCTTATACGTATAATTGGAAATGATTTAATATCGTTTCATTGGAAGGATCGTGCAAAGTATATATTACTATTCCAACACCAAATTATTTGCTAGTTTTTATTCCAATACAACTTTTCAAAGTTTTTAGGTGATACAATTTTGATTTTGAATTTTTTTGGTATCATTTTGCACTTTTTATTTGTGACAAATTTATGAATTATAATTGACATAGCTAGGTAATAGAGAAAAAACTTTGTATATAATAAAGAAAATTGTACATATTTTGGAATGTCTTAAAATTGAAGTAATAGCAAACAATTTGGGATTTAAAAATATTACAATATAAACGAAAACACAAACAAATGCACCCGTAATTCAAGAATAAGGGGAGTGATACAAGAACATATAGTTGGGGCTCAACAAGTATGGTCGATCTATCAAAATATCACACCAAATGCCTATTTATATCATATTAAATAATTTTAAGTTAAATTTTTTTACTATTTCCAAGATACAAGAACATCACAACACAACCAAATACCTTTATATATATATACAGTGGCGGAACTAGAATATTATTAGAGAGAGAGCAAAAATTTTAAATTTATAAAATAAATTTCTTTATTTGTAAAATAATAATACTATCGTCCACTTAATAAATTCATATTTATTTTTTACATACTAATAT